CTTAATAATACTACTAATAACTTACACTTATTACTTACCACTTACTAATAGCTTACAATAGTAATTTTATGATTAAAATGTCTTTGTTTAATACACCCCCCCCCAAATGTTATTCTGTAGCCCTGACAGGTGACGGGAATAACAGTCACATGACGTCTACAGCTCAGCTGATTGGCTCAGATGTTCAGAGATAAGGAGCTCCAGCCAAGCAGCTGCCATTGAGATGAGAATCTTAACAGACATAGATCTCCACGTATTACAGACATCCTTAATTTAACCACAAATACACAAAACAAACTAAGATGAACTTGCCTGGTAGCATTTTTTACGTTTTTATTAATTTCCTAAATTATATATAATAATTATAGCGTTATCATGAATCTTATACTGTTGACAGCCCTATTTCACGATATAAGGCATTTTTTCACAATAACAATGTATACTACAACATAGCTCTTTTTGTTATTAAAAATAGAACAAATACAATTTAATAAAATAACTTTTTCAGGTACAGTGTGTGTGAGTGAGTGTGAGTGTGTGTGTGTGAGTGTGTGTGTGTGTGTGAGTGTGTGTGTGTGTCTTGCCTGACTGTTCAAACAACTGAGGCCAGACCTTCATACCCTGATATTAAAGTAATAATTAAGAAACTATTGGAACTATTGGAAGAGAGCTGAACTGGATGATGAGGTCACTGAATCAATGAACTGACTTCAGCTGAAAAATAACTCTTTTGTTATTGTTTTCTTGCAATATTGACAAACTGTATTCCTGTTTGACACTGTAAAGCTGCTTTGACACAATCAGTATTGTATAAAGCGCTAGAGAAATAAAGGTGACTTGACAGTAAAGCAGTTAGTTTTGTTTTTCCAAGACTTGCGATAGGTGTGAAGACCACATCATTTGACCCCCAAATGTTTGCATTTACATGTGGATAATTTGGAGCTTAAGAGCCTCACTGCTGTGTAACAGGTTGCCATGACAACTGCGTCTGCCGCCCTGGGCCTGCTCTTCCTCTGATGCTGTGTGATATCTGAATGTCAGGAGCTTTCTGTTCTTCACAGCCAACCACACGGTGACCTTCATGTCTGTGCCGAGACCTGCTGCTGTCCTGGGCCAGCGATCCCCAGAGACGGCCTTAACAAGTTCCTGCTCAAGTTAGACTAACCTACAGAGTGTCTTTCCCAGCTCAGCTCTCAAAGTCTGGTCCAAAGTCATCTGAACACCAAACTCTAGTATCCGGTTTACAATAGTTACAATTAAAATGATTTATTGGTGTTAACTGACGAACACAGGAGCATCAATGAATGAGCATCAGCTGTCAGAGATTCATTTCAAACCACACTGCTGTCTGTTCATGTCTGCCATTACATCTTGAAGTCACTGTTCTCTGTAGTACATAATAAAATAATAAAAGAAAGTTGTAAAGAAAAAAAAAAGAAAAATGTGTACACAGAAAACATACTCAAGCTCCACAGACAGCACTGGACGTTATTTATTCAGAGTTTGAAATTGAACTACCATTTATTCTAATCACTTTTGTGTTAAAAAGATCAAGTGATCTCTCCTTCTGTCAACTAACATAATCCATTTAATCTTTGATTTAATCTCATTCATCTGTTTTAATCAGAGAGCTGATAAATGTGCGTGTCAACACATGATTCGTGAGGTGAGCATCAGCAGGCCCGTCTACATCACACCAGACCTGAGGCAAGCGAGGGATTCTACCCAACTGCTTCATTTCTTATCCTTAAATAAACTCACAGTTCAGTGTGGACATTACCAATGAATACTAGTAAAACAGCAGCGTTCCTGGGGACTGACCGCAGCATTGCTTCCTTCTGTATATGACTAACGATCCTGGTTTGAGTGGGCTTTCTAACCTCTGTGGTCGCTGAAGCACCTTGCAGATGTCAATAAACGGAGGGCCAAATAGAATCAGTCGCTCCCGAAGCAGAATTCATTCTCTTCCCTGTTCTCTTCAGCACCCATCAAACGCAAACGCTGCCTGACCAGAATGGATAATGACTACAGCTCTATATCTCCAAACAGCATGCAAATGGAGTCACAGGACCAAATCAGTCCGTGAGTGAACATTAGCGTAAATATTGTGAGTGCTTTGCTATGATTTCTGATAAGAGTTCTACAAAAACAAAGAATTGTGGAGATTAGTAAGATACTGCCACATCAACATTACAATATGAAACCTTTTCTTTTTTCATTTTCTTCTGAGAAGGATTGCCAACGATGCAGTGATGTACTGTCGAGTACCGAAAGAGTAGAATCAGCCAGAATGTGGTTTTGATGGGTACATGTTTCACACGGCGTCCCTTTTATCTACACACTCAGTGGGTAGCATAACCTACAGAGTGTCTTTCCCAGCTCAGCTCTCAAAGTCTGGTCCAAAGTCATCTGAACACCAAACTCTAGTATCCGGTTTACAATAGTTACAATTAAAATGATTTATTGGTGTTAACTGACGAACACAGGAGCATCAATGAATGAGCATCAGCTGTCAGAGATTCATTTCAAACCACACTGCTGTCTGTTCATGTCTGCCATTACATCTTGAAGTCACTGTTCTCTGTAGTACATAATAAAATAATAAAAGAAAGTTGTAAAGAAAACAAAAAAGAAAAATGTGTACACAGAAAACATACTCAAGCTCCACAGACAGCACTGGACGTTATTTATTCAGAGTTTGAAATTGAACTACCATTTATTCTAATCACTTTTGTGTTAAAAAGATCAAGTGATCTCTCCTTCTGTCAACTAACATAATCCATTTAATCTTTGATTTAATCTCATTCATCTGTTTTAATCAGAGAGCTGATAAATGTGCGTGTCAACACATGATTCGTGAGGTGAGCATCAGCAGGCCCGTCTACATCACACCAGACCTGAGGCAAGCGAGGGATTCTACCCAACTGCTTCATTTCTTATCCTTAAATAAACTCACAGTTCAGTGTGGACATTACCAATGAATACTAGTAAAACAGTAGCATTCGCGGGGATTGACCACAACATCGCTTCTGACTGCATATAACTAGTGATCCTGGTTTGAGTGGGCTTTCTAACCTCTGTGGTCGCTGAAGCACCTTGCAGATGTCAATAAACGGAGGGCCAAATAGAATCAGTCGCTCCCGAAGCAGAATTCATTCTCTTCCCTGTTCTCTTCAGCACCCATCAAACACAAACGCTGCCTGACCAGAATGGATAATGACTACAGCTCTATATCTCCAAACAGCATGCAAATGGAGTCACAGGACCAAATCAGTCCGTGAGTGAACATTAGCGTAAATATTGTGAGTGCTTTGCTATGATGTCTGATAAGAGTTCTACAAAAACAAAGAATTGTGGAGATTAGTAAGATACTGCCACATCAACATTACAATATGAAACCTTTTCTTTTTTCATTTTCTTCTGAGAAGGATTGCCAACGATGCAGTGATGTACTGTCGAGTACCGAAAGAGTAGAATCAGCCAGAATGTGGTTTTGATGGGTACGTTTCACACGGCGTCCCTTTTATCTACACACTCAGTGGGTAGCAAATAACTAAAGAGAGCTACTACTTCTCCAACACACGGTACAAGTATTACAGTTAAACAAATGCATTTTGTGTATCCGTTTAAACAACCCGAGCGATACATTATTAACATTTAGGTATAGAACCGGTGCATGATTTTCTATCATGCATCACAATGAGATCACATACCTTAGTGGCAAGAATATTCTTCCACATAACTCATGAACACATGTACTTCCCTGTGGCTGCTAAAGGATCATCTCCTGGAGAAGCCTACAGTCTGTGTAAATAATGAGTGAATATTGACCTGATCCAACAGAGACCCCTATTGGCAGCTCATCCAACACACACAGGTAGAGACAGACAAAGCTTTGGTTTAATTTGTCACTCTTCCCATTTCACTACAGTTAGCTCATAAATTGAGAAGCATACAAGGCCAGCACCTTCGTTACATCGGCATGCAATCGCATGGATACTATCGTAATACTATCAGACAACAACAAGAGCGGACGCAGAAGCAGAATGTGAGAATCGTGACATGCACCATTCGACACACGTCATACAACACCATCTAACTAGTGATCACTTCATTCTTCATAATCAAAGAAACATTGTTAGCTTCAGCTGCTTTTACCGCTTGTGTTCATGTCCGTAATGGTAACTTCATGGAAGAAAAAAAAATTATCGTAATGGCATTGTAAAGCCTTGCTGTGATTTAAATGAGAGATAATTGAGTGTCTGTGGGCTCCAGAGTTACTGTGCATCCTAATGAGCGCCCTCTTTATCCTGAGAGCAAATCAATAGCACTAATGGACATAAGCAGCCTCCTCAATAACATTAGATGGAAAGAAGTTATTGCTCTGGCTCCATAATACACATAAGCTACAAACTACACCTTTTCCTTGTGTCAGTTCTAGGGCCTCTTGTGTGCAGACACCATCTCAACATCAATGAAAGCTGCTCTGAACCACATACTGACAGCAGGACCTGTTTGAAAGCTTCGGTGTACTGGAGCTGGAGGTTCAAAGGTCCTGCAAGGACACATGCAGGTGTAGCTCTGCATCAGTCTGTGAAGCACTGGCCTCCGACAACAATCAGAGAAAATCCCGTTCGCTCATCATCATCATCATCTCCACACTAGATGCGCTGTTTCTGATCGTGCTTCTACATTCAGATCAATGCACGAAATAATCAGCTAATTCACGTCTGAATCACACTCACTGAACAAACTCCAGCACAATCCGGAGACAGAAGAAAGTAGAAACAAAGCCAATAATCTAAGACGCGTTCGGGGAAATGTGATATGAACATCAGGCGATCAGTATTCATGAATCGAGAGCGATCTGCTCTGAAACATCACAGTGAGGCGGACTGAAGTTATCTGTGGCACGTCCTCTGTTTATACCGCCATGAACACACACCTCACGAGCGCATGCAGAAATACAGATCATGACAAAAGACCATCAGATGTCTTACCTTCAAATCCGAAGAGTACGAAGAATCCCGGGATGAGGATCGAGTGTATCCAAAAGCAGCTCATTTCGTCTGGTTCCGATGAATGCAGCTCTGGCCGTGTGTTTGTGTGAGTGTGTTCTGCCTCGGCTCTGTTCGGTTCGGTTCGGCTCGGCTCGGTAATGACAGCAGCAGCAGCAGCGCTTGTGTTCGGATGCTGCAGAGCTTCTGATGTTTCTCTGGTGCTTTGCTGCCATCTAATGAAAACGCGAATGAAACTCATTAATGATGAAAGACACGTACAGGTCTGCTGTCCTCTCTCATTCTCACGAGCACATCTCTGTTAAAACATTGAAGGGAAACTGCATTCTTAAGGCTAGAAGAGTATTCGTGAGGCTGATTTTATCTAAAAGAGTCGCAGTATATCAATACCTTATTCGGAAAGGCACGAAATGACTTCAACATTAATAACTAACAAATCCTGTCGCGATGTTTTTAATGGCATTGCTAAATCTAAAACTCCGTGATGAGTTTGTCAAGGCAATGACATGAAAAAGTGAATTTGAATGAAAATGCAGTCATAGGTAGACCGCGATTGGTTTAATTAATTTCTTGTAAAGAGTAACACTAAACTGAGACACTACGTCATCCATGAAATATCTATGTTAATTGTTGTTTTATCCCTGCTGATGGAGATATTATGCTTCTGCGTCTCACTATCAGCCGATTCTTAGCTCCGGTGGCCTACGCGCCTCGTTACGTTTGTTTACGTTTCTGTCCGGAGCTCCAGACTCGATTCTGTGTTCCATCGGCTTTAACCGATCGGCGAGAGTTGAAAACGACGCGTCCTGCTTCCCGTAGCGACGCTAAATCTAAAACTCCGTGATGAGTTTGTCAAGGCAATGACATGAAAAAGTGAATTTGAATGAAAATGCAGTCATAGGTAGACCGCGATTGGTTTAATTAATTTCTTGTAAAGAGTAACACTAAACTGAGACACTACGTCATCCATGAAATATCTATGTTAATTGTTGTTTTATCCCTGCTGATGGAGATATTATGCTTCTGCGTCTCACTATCAGCCGATTCTTAGCTCCGGTGGCCTACGCGCCTCTTTACTTTTGTTTATGTTTCTGTCTGGAGCTCCAGACTCGATTCTGGGTTCCATCGGCTTTAACCGATCGGCGAGAGTTGAAAACGACGCGTCCTGCTTCCCGTAGCGACGCTCGCGCACCTTGTCGCAGATGAAGTTAATATTCTTAGACTTAATATTCCTCAGATAAACAGACGTTACGATTTTACATGTAAGAATGACTGTTTATTCGGTAGGATTTTGTGCTGATTAATACAGTGCCTGTAAGAAGATCAGGATAAACCTGTATAAATACCAATAAAGCGGGGTCCATATTTTTAATCACCCTTACGAAAATTAACCATGGTTTAACTACAATAAAAAAATAAAAAAAACATGGTTAGCCTACTATTTGGGTTGCCAACTTCCCAAAAGGAAAATACGGGACAATCGTGGTTTTTCATTGAAAAATAAGGCATATGTATGCATATAAATTAAAGAGAACATATTAGGCGATTTTATGATAATAATTTTAATATTAAAATTACATGAAAATATTTTTTACTGTTATAAAAACAGATTTGTGGTGAACATTAGCAGATCAGAAGGTGTCAGAATAAATGCATAACAGACCGTTCTCATTGTTGAGGCCCATCTAATCCAGCCGGCTGGTCTCCTGGAAATGGTGATGCTATACGTCACAGTGACCTGCTTACATAACCTTACATCACATTACAGTCTTGACGTCATTGAATTTCAGTCAAATATAAGATATGATATAAAATATAAACAATATAAAAACAGACCCATAGCTGTAACAGTATGTGGCTGTAGAGAAGCACACAGTAAACTGAAATAGTCTGTTATTCCAACTAAAACACAATGGACTGGAGAATCACCAGGAGAACTACAAACACATGAACTCAAATCAATCCAGAACAAAGACCAGACTGAAACTGAGGGCATAAATACACAGGCAAAACAAAGGAGCAAAGGAGATGATTAACGATACACAGGTGAACAGAATGACATAATCAAGACAACGAAGGAAAACTAGGTCAAGGGAAACTCACAGAAAACAACTGACATGTAACAATAGCTTATAGCGAGTCCACTGAATCATTTAAGATGTTCATGCTTGGGGGGGGAGGTTTCCCTAATAAGCCTCATCTATGGGTCTGCATTTAGCAGTCATCGTGTGTCCAGAAAAGCTACTGTAATTTGTTTCATTATTTCATCAGAATCATTGTTTTCCATTCTGCAATTGTTCATGTACAAATTAAAGCAATGATTTACAGTACATTCAATGAAAATAAAACAAATCATTAGCAGCACTTTAAAAAACTTTGTTGTATTCCGCAACATAGATAAAAATAAATCAAATGAAAACCTGCATTACACCATGACAATATACTGAAGTAAAATGCAAATATATGAACTTGTGTTGTATTAAGAAAAAGGAAATGATGTCCACATTGGATTGAGATATTTTTGTTCATGAGAGGAAATACATTACACTGAAAAGTGAAAAACGTCAGCCAATATTTTGATATACTTTCTGTATCATGACTTTCCTCATCAGCTATTGCATCAAAATCTTTGATTCTCTCTCTTGCATGGATATACACTTCTCTGGATGGTCACGACTGACTGTAACACCAATGCTGATGAAGAGTCTGGAGTATCTTCAGCGTTTGGGGGTCTAAGTTAGAGGCCATTGGAGATTCCACATGTTTGACCCTTTAGCAGTTTGAGTCATTGTGGAGTATTACAAACACTAAGGCATGAACGGTTGGGCATAACTGTGACAGAACTGCACAAATCGGCCCTTGTTGTGGCATCTCCTGTGATGCTATGCAGGTGCTGAATGCTATTTATGACAGCAGGAGAATATTTGTTGCTGGAGAAAGCGTTTGCTCTTTGTGAACAGCGCTCATCCCTCAAGGCTGTGCATGAGCTTCTCAGAGATCTTTCAAAACTGAAATGACGCCCTGTAAATAATTCAAGACTCAAAGAATGGCTTCAAGGACAAACACATTCTGTGTAGACTTACAAATATTTACAGTGTTTGTTTTTCTGAGAAAGCAGTGGGAGGAAGACTTTTCTTTATTCTGCATTATGAAGAGTTTGAGTTTATGGCGTCTCACAGCATGAAGCAGCCTGAGTGCGCTCGCTCCATATCAATCACACTGCTCTTTCCATCTCTCTCTTTCTCTTGCTCTGATACTGAAACCGGGTCATTAGCGAGAGAGCGAGAGAGAGAGAGAGAGAGAGAGTCCAGTGATTTTCTGCAGAGAGCGGCTGTTTTGGACACTGTGTTTTTGATTCCAAATGAGAAAGCAATTATTGTGCCATTGTGATTGTTTTCTTGATAAATATGACCTTGACAATTTCAGACTTTCTCTCTCAAAATCTCACTATAGGGTTAATGTTTCGTGTAACTAATGTACCTATAGCTACATATTCTTCTCTAAAGTCAAATAATTAATTATTACAGATCTGTGCTTTTGTACATAGCGTATTGTACACAGCAAATCTCAAAAGGCCTTCAAGGCCAGTTCATTGTGTTTCCGTGTGGAGTTTGCATGTTCTCTCCATGTCTGTGTGAGTTTCCTGAATCAGAGACACTAAACTGTTCGGGTCTGAATGCAAATTCACAATCAATGTGTATGTATAGTGCAGATCCTTCCAAATAAACTTTACTTAAAAATGTCAAAATGACAATATGACTGTTGATGTAAAGAGACGAGAAGAGCATTGATTTGAATCTTCTTCATTAAGATCATCATTACAAGGCAAACAAACGAGGACTGCATTTCTAACAGACGTTTAATTAAAAGGGGGGAAAAGTTTCAGAATGACCCTGCTTTAGTATGAGATCATTTCCAGTGAATTAGTGGTAGAAAATCAACATAAACCATACTAAACATATTTTTAGATTATGCTCATACCCATCATTGAAAATAAAATGTCTTTCTTTAATACCATATTTGGTTGTGGCATTATGAGGCCTTTTACAGCAAGCATGATATATAGCTCTGAGCACATGAGTGGAAAGGGAGAGGAGCACAGAGACAGCGGCTCATTTGTCTTTGTGTGAAGGAACGGGAAGTTCTGCTGTTCTGTGGGGTTTAGAGTCGAACGGCTGAGCTTTTCAAAGCTCTGTAGATTGCTTTTTTTGTCTATCATCAAACTTTTTAAGCAGCTCCCGAGTCTCATAGTCCACACAGGCACTGCAGAAATGAATTGACCACATGCCTTCCATACTGACACCCAAAGACATGGTTAATATTACTCTCTGAGTAAGTGACTTAATGCCAAACACAGAGGTGACACGGAAATAATATGGAATGCTTACAGAATTTCAGAAAGCGCAGACAAGTGTATCTTGACAACTGCATCTGATAACATGCATGGCATTTAAAATTTAGCAAAGCATAGAATACTAAAGCCTTACTGCAGCATTTACTGTTTTGTGTAAATGATACTTTAAAGGAGCAAGTGAATAAAGCAACTTTTCTGATCTTATGTGAATTCTGTTCATGAAATGAAACTATATTATTTGTAGCCTTCAATGCGAAACGTACTGTCTTAAGATTTATTCTTGTTTATTTTTTATATATCAGCATTCTCTAAATGTGCGCATGTTCGGACTAAAAGTTCTGCTGCATTTACATTCTAAGTGTCTGCTCAAATGCGTTCATCTTAATACATATGATCATTTTGTCCTCATCAGTTATTTTAAATCTACATGACTTTCTTTCTTTCTTCTGTGGAGCACAAAAGAAGGTATCTGTGACCCAGAGCTTGTATTTTATATTTTGTAAATAATTATTTTCTTGACCCATCTAAGGTCTGTTATCTCTTACTCACAGACCTTCGGTCATGATCTAAAATTTGGTCACTATCCAGTTTAACAGTGATACATTACTTTTAATTGAGAGACATCTTGGCTAAGCTTCGGTTAGGGAACTTCTACCATTGCACTGGCTTATGGAAAACAGGTCAGTTCTTTTATTATTTTAAGATTTATTCTTGTTTATTTTTTATATATCAGCATTCTCTAAATGTGCGCATGTTCGGACTAAAAGTTCTGCTGCATTTACATTCTAAGTGTCTGCTCAAATGCGTTCATCTTAATACATATGATCATTTTGTCCTCATCAGTTATTTTAAATCTACATGACTTTCTTTCTTTCTTCTGTGGAGCACAAAAGAAGGTATCTGTGACCCAGAGCTTGTATTTTATATTTTGTAAATAATTATTTTCTTGACCTATCTAAGGTCTGTTATCTCTTACTCACAGACCTTCAGTCATGATCTAAAATTGGTCACTGTCCAGTTTAACAGTGATACATTACTTTTAATTGAGAGACATCTTGGCTAAGCTTCGGTTAGGGAACTTCTACCATTGCACTGGCTTATGGAAAACAGGTCAGTTCTTTTATTATTCCAGTCTTCCTCCTCGGATGACAACGAGTGTGTAAATTGTGTCACCTTTACTAGACAGTCTAAGGCACAGCATCCGCAGGGTGAGATTCGCTAATGCCCAGAATCAAACCTTATTTCTGTGGGACCAATTACTGCGCTCGTGTGGACAGCGTGGCACTTCATCCTAAGAGTCCCTCTGCTGAGGCCAGCAGTCCTGCTCTCTCATGCTTGATCCGCACTCATACCTGCTTTAACAAACCAGTCCTGTTCTACAGCCACCCACATCTTCCTCTTTTACAGGGTGTATAAAGCTGCACACAAACATTTGGCCAAATTAAGAAGAAACACATCACACTGAACGCACTCCAGCTGGTTCTGGACCTTTGAGGTTTCTTCGAGCAGAGATTCTTTAAGTTGGTCTTGACTAATTAGAGCAGCAGAGCGTGACAGATCCAGTATCTCCACACATGCCCTCGGAGGAATAAAGAGAAAGTCACTTATGACTGCCACAACTCTAATGAGCCCACAATACAAGTCCCCTGCATTTACTATAAGCTTCACATATACCACCGTCTCACATTGCTTTAATACAGGAATACTACACACACCAGAGAGAAATATTTATAGAGACTCAAACAATAATGGTTGGGCTATACAACAACACAACAACAACAAGAATAGACCAACATATTTCTGAATTTTCTTCACAAAGTCACAAATCTATTTACTTCCAATTTATGTTTATTGTAAATGAATGCTAATGAGTGTATGGTGTCAGTGTAGTGACTATATTAATTGGCATTGTCAGGTTTAACATAATTTGTGTCCCTGGAGCACAAAAGCAGTGTTAAGTCGCTGGGGTATATTTGTAGCAATAGCCAACAATACATTGTATGGGTCAAAATTATAGATTTTTCTTTTATGCCAAAAATCATTAGGATATTAAGTAAAGATCATGTTCCATGAAGATATTTTGTAAATTTCCTACCGTAAATATATCAAAACTTAATTTTTTATTAGTAATATGCATTGCTAAGAACTTCATTTGGACAACTTTAAAGATGATTTTCTCAATATTTAGATTTTTTTGCACCCTCAGATTCCAGATTTTCAAATATTGTCCTGTCCTAACAAACCATACATCAATGGAAAGCTTATTTATTCAGCTTTCAGGTGATGCATAAATCACAATTTTGAAAAATTGACCCTTATGACTGGTTTTGTGCTCCAGGGTCACATTTAGCATCTGCGTAACAAGGTCATCAGGTTTGAGATCTATGCAGTTCAACATCAGCTAACACTAGAGGTAAATTATTTATGTGTTTTAGAAAGATGTCATGGCTAACATGATAGATAATACATAACTACAGAGAAAAGCACCATCTGCAGGACAGAAGCAAAAAAGTTCAAGAGAATTTAAGCATGATATCTGAACTGAACAGAAACAGCGATCACTCTATGGCATCTGTATGCACTTACTGTCAGCAACTGTGCTG